AAGCAGTGACAAACACCTAAACATCTGACTTAGGGTTGTTAAAATGTCAGCCCATGGGCATGTGACAAGCCCCACGTTCTGCATTCGTTTGCCAGAGGGAAGAACTGGAAATGGTGTTGGCTAATTTTCCTCCCCTGGACTGCCAGCACAAAGTGCTCCTTCAATATATTGTCAAAACAATATATTTTTTCTTAACCTAGAGTATCAGCACAGCTCTGAGCACGTACTGTACTGCTGTCTGCAGGTTATGTGGGTACACTCTACAAGGGATTTCCCAAGCGTTGCCAATGCTGCTGCCATAGGAGCAGGAGACAAAAATATTTGCACAGAGCCTGGGGGCAGGGTTTGCAGCCTGTGCCATACAGTCCTCCTGCTTATAACTCTGGACTCCCTTGCATATTTATTTAATAATTACCTCCCCCTGGGGAATTTATGCCTCTACAGACTGATTTTTTTAAAAAAAATCTTGTGTGGACTCTGCATATCAAAGTCTCTTTGGTCAGAAAATTTGTGCTTTGTGGTCTGAATGGTGATTAAACCACAGATGGCATACCTGAGGGCACTCATGCTTCTGAGCTGCTTGCTGCCACCCATGGCACAGTCCCTGCCTGGTGTCTCTGCTGTATCCCTCGTGACTGGTCACCAGTTTCTCTTGGCACTGGATCTGTAGCACTGTCAGGGCCAGTATGGGCACATTGGTCTTGGATGAGGGCACAGGGTTAGTCACTCCCAGTAAACAATGTCTAATTGTGCAAATGTTTTCCTTTCCTCTAGGAAAGCACTCTGTATTGTCCATGCTGGCCTGCTGTCTTGCTGCTCTATTTTCTGCAATTTCTTAATTTTTTTTTAAATAAAAAAGTTGCTCTTTCTTATCACGCTTCTTGTATGGCCCAGCTTCAGGCAAAGTTGCTTAAAGGCATACAAATGGTGTTCTGAGGAGATTAAGGGACACAATCACAGTTGGTGCATGATCAAAAGCAGCAGCAAAGGACAAGAGCCCAGACTCGCAAAGCAGAGTTTGAGATCCATTTGTTCCAGCCAGTGACTGGGAGTGGCCTCTTGGGGAGGGGCATCATTGTTCCTGTGGAAACAAAGGAGCGACAGCAACAGTGGGGCCAGTGGGCTGTTTCTGAAAACCGGTTTTCTCAAGTACTCCGTGTTTTAGGGGAACCTAAGGGTGGCACTGTTACCAAACAAGTTCATATTTCTTTTAAAAGGAGCCTGTGCAGCAGTGTGGGGCGGGAATTGCTTTAAGGAGATTTAACCCATGAATTGGGTAACAGACGACAGGCAAGCTATGGGTGATGCCCATGTGTTAGAAAAACAAATTACAAATTTAGGGTCTGATGTGATTCAGTGCTCTTTGACCAGAGAGAGAGATTTGTTGTTGAGACCTGGACACAAGGAACGCAGAATTTATAATCAAAGACACATACAGAAACTGGAGATGAAGGAGAAACTAACAAAGACAATTACTGAGATTCTCTTTATCTGGGAAAAAGAAATAAATTATAAAAAGACTAAAAATGTGGATTAATTTACATTAGAAGCAATAAATAAATAACAATAGGTGATAGAATACTATTTAATGAAGATAACTCTGTATCTTGTAAGCCAATGAACACTGATTTCTTTGTTTGCTCAAATGTATAAATCATTAAAGGTTTGATAACTGGCATGTTCTGTGGAGACATCCCCATGTACCCTAACACTGAATAAAATTATGTTTCTACCCTAACAAACTGGTTAAAGAGTTTATTTCCCAGCTTTTGGTGCCGGTTTCTGGTACCCCAGATGGGACAAAGAGGTGCTAACTCAGTGAACCAGAGGAATCATCAGCACTCCAATGCACACCAAAATATTTTCAGGGAGATCTTCCTGTTTCCTGGTCTGGTGAGTAGATCACTCTGCCCTTTCTGGGAAAAAGAATACAACATTACTTAAGGTACTTTATTTGAAGGTAATTTTCATGCCTATAAGTTGCACTAATAGAAAGTTTGCAGTGTGAGGCTCAGAGGTTTTTGGGAAAGGTTCTAAAAAGTTGTGAAAGATTGTAACAAGTTATAGAAAACTTGTAAAAGGTTTTAAAGGTGTTAAAAGGTTTTTCCTAAGATGGTAACTATGGGAGTAGGGCTATCTTCATAACTCCCACAAGAAGGGATCCCGAAGGGTTCCCCTTTGGGCTGTGTCCTAAGGAACTGGAAAAGGTTGGGAGTTTGGGAGGGATGAACCCCTGACACAAAAACAACTTGTTGAATATTGTAATCATTGGTGGTTAATACATAAACGTAATGGTTGTGAAAAGTTAATGGGGCTGCAAATTACAAACACCATTTTGCAAAGAACGCTGTTTTGTAAAAGGAAGGCAATGGACCACCTGCCGTATGCTAGTTTGGTTTTTTTTTTTTTGAGTTTTTTTTTGTTTTTTTTTTTTTTAATTTTTTGATTTGTGGAATAATCCTGATTAGTGGAAGGAATGTATGCATGTGCCTAGAGATTGATGGTGTGAGCATTAGAAGAGAAGGGATGGGAAGCCACTCAAAGGTGCTGCTCTGGCTGCAGTCCAGGCTGCGTCCCCAGTGTCAAGCGTGTGGCTGCAGGCTCCTGTGGCACAATGAGCTGGGTGAGTTTGTCCTGCAGCTGAGGCACTGGTGCAGCTCAGCACTGAGGCTGCTCAGGGAGCCTCATGTGGAAAGGCTTCACCTCAGACCTGGACTTGTGCTTTAGGATATTTACTGTTTCATAAGGACAAAGGAGTTCAGTCCAGGAAGGAAAAGAGGCTGTCTGTCTAGTCCTGAGCCCCTTTCTAAGAGACAGCTGAGCCTGACTGCAGGAAGGGCTTTCAGGAATTGAAAGATGCTTTAATGTCTGCTCCTGCACTGGGACTTCTGGGACTACTGGGCTTTCTAGGCAGAATTGCTGCCCTGTAGAGCAGAGTCACCATCACGTGTTAAATGGCAGGACAGCTCTGGGTTTGCAGGCAGGATGAGCTGGATGTTCCCCCTGGAAAGCACTGTGAAGATTTCCAGGGAGTTTCTGGGCTTGACAGTACTTGACATATGTTCAGCAGACTCAAATGTCTCGGCTTGCTTCAGGCTTTTACTGTGGAGTAAACAAGAGCCTTCCAGGAAATGTTCTGCAGCTTGGTGCAGCCAGGCCTGCACAGCACTTCAGAGAGCAGCTGATAAACGAGGTCACTGCAACAGGTGTTCCACAAGCAGTTATAATTATTATTATTTCAAGGCCAGGCTGGACAGGGCTCTGAGCAACCTGGTCTGGCCAAAGGTGTCCGTGCCCATGGCAGGGTGGTTGGAACTCAATGATTTTTAAGGTCCCCTCCAATCTAAACCATTCTACAATTCTAAGACTGAAGAAAGGTGTAATAGCAGAAGGGACATAAACTGGTATGTCACTTTACTTATTCCATTCCAGTTTATTACTTGCTAATTATACAGTTAATAATGACTAGACAATTTAGGAAGAAGTTTGTGACCTCAAAATCAAGACCCTCATTAAATTCCTTTAAATACAAGATTCCAGTGACTGGTCAACGTCTGGGGCATCATCAAAGATATTTTGGTTGTTCAATTTAGCTTTATTCTGTGCCTGAAGCTAATTTATCAACCTTCTCTAAAATTTTCTGTGGTTGTAATCTCAACAGCAGTTTGGTTCCTAAACATGTTTGGGACCTAGTTCTAGTAGTTGGACCTTGTCCAACATTGTCCTTGTTCTTCTTATCTACAAAATAACTGTATTTTCTGTATTTCACAGGAAAAGAGACCAGCATATTAACTAAAGTGGGAATTTGGGTACTTCAGCAGGAAGGGCCACACAGGCATTTCAAAAAGATGTGACCTGTAACTTCATATCAACATAAACATATACATGCAATTTATTCATAGCTGAATGAATCATCATGTGATATTTAATGTTGTGCTGCTTTAATGTTTTCAGGTGCTGAATCCAGGGTAGATACAACACTGATGTGGTTCAACACTCACCTTCTTCTGACAGCCTAGTCCAAGGTTTTACAGATGGGCCATACTTGTGTTCATCCAGTTTCATTAATATTTCTGGATGGTTCAGCATATTTGTATTGACCAGGAGAGACTCACAAATTATTCAGTCTGAGAAATGTTTTGCATGTTTTAAATGGTCTTACTTCAATTGATCTGGTTTTGAGAGCAACATTAGGAATTAATAAATGATACTATATGAATGCATTGAAAATATGATTGAGCTTTATTTCAGAGGTAGTGTTCTTGCTCCTCCCCTTGTTTGATCTGTTGGTACATATATAATATTTTTTAATTCAAATATAAGAGCTTTTGACTACCATTTCAGAATTGCTATACATCCCATTTAGAACCAGACTCTGTTCATTCTGTGTATCCTGTAGGGCATTAAGGGCACACTGTGTACATCATACTGCATGTATCTATGCTGTCTTTCATTTACAAGCAGATTGTTTCCTTTTTTTTATTATTTTTTATATTTACTATAAATGATTGGCAATTTCCAGAAGTTTGATGTTAATATTGGGTTGCAATAGACCTTTGCAAATGTCTTTTTTTCCTTTTTCCTTTTTTTTTTTTTTTTTTTTTTTCTGTTTTGAAGATCTCTTGCCATCCTGAGGAAACTTAGGCTAAAGGCAAAAGGAATGAGACTGCATCTGCAGGCACTCTGCAAAACACTAGCCTACAAAATGGCTCACACCTTGATCCTGCTGCCTATTATTCGTGCAAAGTGTGATTCTAGTGTTGTGTGCATGTAATGAATGGGCTTGGAGATTGCAAATTATCTGAAGGAGGCGTCAAAGACAGCCATTAGACTATGCTAGATCTGAAAATATTTTGAATTTTAGTTGCTCCTACCCCCCCACACCCCTTCTCAATTGACTAAGGGAGTTAATCTGAAATTCTTAAAGCCCTGCCCACCTGAATTAGTCTCTGCATGCAGCTATCCTGTGTTTTTTGCTATCAGGTGAAAGCAGACATCCATCAGTGTCCTGGGAGGGCTGGCTGGGCGTCCTTGCCCTCGGCGGGCGCCTGCGGCTTTTCCTCCGGCACCGGCTCCAGGTCGGGCACCTTGTGGCCTGCCTTGGCCACGGTGAACCTGCTCATGTGCAGCGCTTCCTCATACACGGGAGGGGTGTCAGGGGCACAGACGGGCGGCGTGCCCTGGGCAGCGCTGTGCGAGTGGGCCACGGCTAAAATCCTCCTGGCAGCAGGCCCGAACACCGAGTGGAGAGCTGCAAGAGAGGAGACCAAAGCTGTTTGCCTCACCCTGAAGGCATCGTGTGGTTAGAGGAGGGCAAGGATACCCACAGGGCATAGGATCTTCTCTCCCCACAGCCAGAATGTTTTTCTTTTCCTGCTCCTTCAGTCTTCACTAAAAGAGTATGTGTGTGAAATCCCGCCAGCAGCATCCCACAGTTCCTCTCTCCTGAAATGCCACTGAACCCTTATTGTACCCAAACACGTCTCACAGCTGACACCTCGGCTTGCAGCACGCACAGAGGTCGCTTCCCCTCCATCCTGCCATGAACTTCCCTCCCTGTGCCAGCCCCGGGGCGTCACCAGCTGGGCCTTACAGGGCAGCTCCCTCCCTTCGCAGAGTGCTGAGATGCCCAGAACGGGGCAAGGCCAACTCACAGGTGATGGTGTTCTGCAGGGTGCTGTCATGGTCGAAGGCAATGACGGTGACCTCGTAGGGCCGGGGGCCTGCCTCGTCCCCTGCCTGCTGGCACTGGAGGCAGCACCTGACGCACACAGAGACCAGGCCACACAGCAGCAGGAGCCCCCCGAGCACCAGCACCAGCCTGCAACGGGAGGGCACACGCAATGAGGACAGAAAGGTTTTGTTACAGGACACCTCCTAATGTCTCTGATTGTTTACAACATGGCTAACCTCAAAGCTGAACAAAGGACAGTATTGGACAGTATCCAGGGATGCAGATCCATCATTCCCTCCAGGCACCTGTTCAAGTGCTGCACCATCATCAGGGGAAGCATTTTTACTCCTGTCTAATTAGAATTTTCCTGTCTTCAGTTTGGTCAGCTGCCTTATGTGCTTCTACTGACCTCCTCTGAGAAGTCTCTGTCTTTATTTTCTGTCAAGATCCCCCTGGGTAGTGGAAAACTGCAATTACTTTATCCACTTAGCTTCATCCAGGCTGAAGAAGCCTGGTTCTTTTTATTGGCTTTCCAGGGGACTGGCTTCAGTTTGCTAACATGTATTTTGTACTAGGGGTCCAAAACTAGGAATGCCAGACATCTCGTCATGAGTGACAAGCAGAGAGGAAAAATTGGATCTTGCAATCTTCTTCAGCCCTCCAGATGTTCAACAACTATCATCCTTCTTAATCTCATCCTGGTGGGAATAACTAAGAAATCAGACAGAACTTACTTTAAAAATCAGTTTTTTGAATTTTGGCATATGGTGCCATGAATAATTTATTAATAGTGTTCATATGACTAAATATGTGGAATAAAAAAGGAGGCTGATTGGTCAACTTTTGTTAAAGGCAGTGAGATATCTGAGGGGTTGCCTTGATCTTGTAGAGCTTTAGAGAATCCCAGGGAAAAGGAGGGGGTGGCATCACTCTTGAGCAGGTCACATTTAATCCCATCCTATGCTACTGGAATTGTCTAAAGATGCAGATATTTAGAGTAAACATGTTGTCTTACCAGATATACCACAGATGGTTCCATTCTGTACCTGAACAGCTGAAGAGAAGAGGGTACAAAAATAGTTATCCACAGAACACCAAATAAAGGCAAAGATCCCTGTGGTACCCTCCTCCCTCTCCCCTCATGATCCTCACTCACTGTCCAGATTCCAGATGCCACAATGATGAAATACTCATTGTGCTTTGTGGGGGACACAGCTGTCCAACCTCATCAATATCTCTGTTGGTTGAATTTCCCTTCTCTTGGCTTTATATCTTGATTGTTTTATTGATATTTGTCCTTGCCTAATTCCCCTTGCAAACCTTAGAGATCTGCATTCATGTTTGTTTTTTTCTTTTTTGTCAATATATCATTTCCGTTATTCTTAAAAATTATATCACTGATAATAATATTCACCAAAGTGGTATATTTTAAACCATTTTTTCAAGGAAAGTTTGATTCTAAATTCATAATCCCAGTCAATTGAAATTACACCAGAAGGCTCCTAACTATTGCAGTAATGCAAATAGGCAGCAGGAGCAGTACCACACAATCAGCATGTTGATCAATAAAAATAGTAATTTGTACAGTTCATAGTGACAGTAATGGTGATTTTACATGAATTTTTAGTACAACTAAATAAGATTTTCTGGAAAATGTCAACCATCCGATCATAACGCCCATGTCCACTATTGCCTTTTCTCTAAAGAAGAGCAAGATTGACAAATACTTAACAGTTCAGTGTTAAGGCAGCCTTCCTCACCTCTCACGTGGGGGAGCTAGAAGGAGAAAAGCAGCAAAGACACAGCTAGAGTGAATGAAATCTTTGTCAAATGCATCTTGTATATCTTTCATATTATGAGTCTGGATCTCCTATGGTAAGGATGCACTGTTATCTATCTTCCATTGTTTCTATTGTACATTTTGCTGTAGATTTGAAGTTACTCTTATGAATACTCTTGTTTCATATCCTGTGGTCCTTAAAATCTTACTTGGTACTGTTCTGAACTTCATTATCACCACAACCTTCCCTTCCTCCACTACAAGCCATGTCATTCTCCAGTTGTAGATCCTTCTCCACACTCAAATATTAAGAACATTTAAATACCCTGCTTCCTATTATACCCACCCTGGTGAAAACTGCTCTGTCCCTCCAGCACTCCTACCTTTTTCCTTCCTTTTCCTTGGGTACCCTGATGTCTGAGTTACCATCCCTGCAATAGTAGCAAATATTATCTTCTCTCTGTGTGCCTTTTAAATGTCCAGCTCTTTCTAATATCTGGGAAATTATTATTCCTAGTGGCCCTCAATCTTTCCAAGGTAACTCCATAGCTGAGCAGAGACCCCATGAAGAGGAAAGTCAAAGATGACTTACCCATACGAAACTCCCTACAACAAAGCAGATCATGTCTGAGTTATGCATCCCTGGAAGGTGCTTCTGTGGCCTCCTGGTGTTTCAAGCTGCTTGGAGTCTTCTTGTCCTTTCTACTTTCAGTTCATCCTCACCAGTCCAGTGGCCAGGAGAAGGAGCAGCTTCTGTGCTGTGTATTGAATCCTACTCTGCTTCTTTCTGCCCTTCAGTTTTTGCTTTCCCTCTTTTCCTTTTTATCACTGGCAATTCCTGATTTTTTCTGCCTGTCTCTTTTTGTTATTCTATTGGCCTGGTTCTCTTCCTCTTTTGAAGGGATTTCTAAAACCTTCCAGTCAGATCAGGAGAGGAGCAGTGGCTACAGGTTCTTACTTTAGATGTTTAACTAGTTCAGTGAAGGGCATCATGAGATCTCTGCGGGCCTGACCCTTCCCTTCTATGAGCAGAAAGGGTCTCTGAGTTTGTTCATTCCCAATTATTTCTCTCCCCGCCCCTACCCTGAGGGGAGTGGGTTGAAGGTCATGTTACTGACCTGTTTAATTGGAGTTTAGATTCCTCTCCATCCTCCAGTACCTTTCCTGCTCCGCCACTCACATTGTCCTACCTCTGACCATCCAATCCACTGACTTGGAAGTGGAAGAATTCACCATATAATAACTATATCCAGCAATTTATATATATATGTGCAGTTACATGTATATAAACATATATATGTGTATATATATGCAACATATATGTATGTGCATATATATATGTATATATATGTGTATATTCATATGCAGGAACTCTTGTACTTCCCATTTTAAGGCTCTGCCATCATCCCTCTTACCTGTTCATGTCCTGTTCATGTCCTGCATTCCTGCAGCTGAGAGTCTATTCTCTCACAGGTCCCTGTTCACTCACAGGTCCCACTCCCAAACTTCCTGCAAGGCCAGATAAATCCCCCTCAATCCCTTGCAGCAGAGGGATTACACATTGATTCTCCTGTCCTGGATACTATTAATCCTACAGCTGGTTATATTCAAAGGCTTCATTCAATGAGCCATTAATTTTCTCTGTCTTGTAGAATTGCTTAAAATTTCTGTTAGTGCTCATGGCTATGCACAGTGTTATTACAGTCATGTAATTGGGTTCTCCTAATCTTTTTCTTTTGAATAGCTGCGACGGAAAAAAATACTCTGCAGTAATGTGTAACTATTTGTGTTTGGGAACCACCTAGGACTGGTGCATAAATGTTTGTTGAAGGCAGGGCAGCAGCTAGTGAGACATGTTGCCTCTTGTTGCAATCACAGCCCTTTCACATTAAACTGGTGAATCATTAGCCCTGGTGGTGCATTTTAGAGTTGCAGAGCAGAACCAATGGATTCGTGAACTCAATGTTTTCTCCCAAGGCAGGCTAAAACCCATTTGCCATTCTTTAATTATAAAAGCAGTAGTGCAGTATAAACATGCCTTAGCAGTAGTTTATCCATCCATCCATCCATCCATCCATCCATCCATCCATCCATCCATCCATCCATCCATGTCTACTGGAAGGAGGTTTCCAATGTACAACTAACAAAGAAAGAAAGAACGAAACATGACCTGCTGACATTGTATTTATATAGGAACTGACCAAGTCTTTTGGTGTCCTTCTCCTAAATTCTTTGGTGTACTATCAAAGTCTTAGAAGGAAAGTCCCAGCAGATCTGTAAAATAGCTTTTCTTGTATGCATGGCTTTTGAAACTGGTGGGATTCAATGTGGGAAAAAAATACAAACCACCAATGTTTCCAGGGCTTTTTATTATCAGTGTGATAATTCAATAGATCATCACTTGATTTTAGCTGAAATTCAGTCATGTGATAATCTCAAATTCTGGGATGATCCAAATGCAGAAACAGCTGGAAAAGTGACAAAAAATTCCCTAAAGAAAAAGCTGCATGTGACATGAAACAGTGACCCCTCCAAAAGGATATCGTAATTAATTCTTGCTGAAAGTTATTGATTACTCTTCTTCAATTTCTATGGCATTGCTATTAACACTCTGCTTCTAGTATTACCAAAAATAGGTAAAAATACAAACTCTTTAACACCACTGTAGCAGTAAGAAGGAGGCATTATTTATTTGGCTGGATGCATGTGGGGATATCCTCTGGAATATTGTGCATGCTGAATACAGAAAAAGCTCCTATTTAGAGGCTTTATTTTGCATACATATTCATTGATTTTCCTGGAATAAACATACATTTGATAATAATTTCCCCAAAATCATTAACATATTTTCCCTCCTCTCTGCAGATGTGTTTTTCTGTCCTGAGGGTCTTTTTGGTGGTCCCTGGTGGCTGGTGATCCCAAAGTCAAACCTGACTGCCTGGTGAACTGATAAAAGTTGGCACAACTGGTCTGGCTCCTCTCCAGTTCTTCTTCCTAGAGAATGGGCATGGTGCAGTTCCATAGGCCAGTGGTTTTTCAGGAATGATCATTGTCTTGGCCCACCAGGTGCAAACAATTCTTCATCTGGCAACATTCTGCCCTTAAGCCTTGTGAAGCTTGTCTTTAACTGTTCCAGGAGGTGGCCTTTTCTTGCTTATGGGATTGTTTTTTAAACAAATTGGACATTGCACTGTAACAGATTTTTCTATTTCAGTCATTCCTACACTAAGTACAGAGTTTTGGAGACTATACGTCAGGGACTCAGTTCCCTGAGGGATTTGTTGTGTTCTTTTTCCATTACTTTCCTCCTTACAGGAAATGGAACTATAACCTGCTGGCTGTTTGTTACCCACCATCCCTCTTGGATCTTAGTGGCTTTTGTATATTTTCTAAATATTGATCTTCATTGTCAGAATTAGCCTTCAATTAAGTCAATTTATTTTTGTGGCACTAACACAAAAAGAAGGTTGGGATGCCTTTTTCAGCTGCTCCTCAAACTGCTGTGTCTGCCAGTCGGTTTCCCACTCTAACATTAGTTCGTCCAGATTGAAGTGCTTTACAATGCATCACTGCCACCTCCTTTGGGTTTTAACTTCTTTCAGAGGTTGTAAAATTTTTGCTCTGTGTTGAATAGATGATCCTTGAGCCAATAGCAGTCCTCTTTCCTTGCACATGGCTCCATGGGCATGAATCACAACAAATGCATATCTAGAATCAATCCAGATATTCACTCTTTTGCCCACTGCCAAGTTCAATGCTTGTTTTAGTGCTATTATCCCTGCTTTTTGGTCTGATGTATGAACTGGTAAAGACTGAGCTTCTAATAGCTCAGTGGCAGTCACCACTGCCTATCCTGCCATCCATTTCCCATCTTTTATGAAACTCCTGCCATCTGTAAATAATTCTAAATCAGGACTCCCTATTGGTTCACCCTGCAAATGGGTTCTACTGGAATATACCTGTTCCATGGTTTGGAGACAATCATGTGTCAGGGCTCCCTCACCCACTGCCTTTGGATCAAGGAAAACTGCTGGATTCATGGCTGCTGTCATCCTGTTCCACGAGCACAGCTCGGTATCTGAGCATCCTGCTGGGACAGCCAATGCCCCTTCTTTTGCTCCAATATGGATGTCACCATGTGAGGGACAAAAGCAGGAATGTGCTGTCCAGCCCTGAGCTTCCTGGCCCCTTGGATCAGGAGAACAGTTGCAGCAATCTCTTGCAAGCATGCTGGCCATCCTCTGCTCACGTTGTCCAGCTGTTTGGAGAAATAGCCCACAGGTCTCCTCCAGGTTCCCAGCTTCTGCATCAGGACCCCCAGGTCCCCTCAGGTTATTTCAGCATCCAATTTTCCCCAGAACTCTCACCCCAGCAAGGGGACAGGGCATTAGAGCATGTATAGAAACTGATGAGTAGTGCAGTTCTTTCCTAATTTAAATTTCATGGGCTGTAAAAATGACCAAGTTTCACTTTTCTCTGTAGCATCAGTTATATTTACCACAGTGTACACTTACCACATGTACCAATTTACATTTAACTATCAGCAATTTTCAATTTACAATTTACCAATTTACATTTACCACATCTTTACTAAGTTTTCCTTTACCTGTATTCAATACAGAATAAGTTGCACCTGTGCTTATCAAAAATTCCACTTCTTCTTTCCCAGCCTCAGGGGTTCAGCTGGGGTAGAAAACCCCGTTTCCCCTCAATCTTCATCTTCTCTCTTAACAGCCTGTAAGGCAGAGTCCAGCTCCCCAGCCTGCGGCCATTCCCACTTCCAAGGCCTCTTTTCCCTTTTTCCTTACCAGTGTGCTCTGGTTTTCCTCTAATCCTTGGCCGGGAAGCGATGGATTCCTCAGCCTCTCCTTCCTCTTTCTCCTGCCCTGTTGGGCGGTCCCTTAGCACCCTCTAGAGTTCCAAGTAGGTTTTTGTGGCTCTACCTTTCTTTTCCAGCCCGTCACATTTCCTTTTCTCGACCTATCTCTGTTTTCAAATGCTTTCCAAGCTTCATCTAACAACTTGCCTGAGTCACACCACTCCGGTCCTTCCATTTTCTGGAGTTTGTTTCTAATATCTAGAGCCGAATGTGCTATAAAGAAGTTATATTTCTATATTTAGAAACTATTTCTATCTTTACAGAAACTATAAAGATAGTTTCTAACTGCACAGCCTCCTCTAGATTCTCAGGATCCAGATTAGTGACTTCCATCATTTGATGAAAGTCACAGTCCTGTCCTGCTTTACCTCAAGCAGTTTTGACCAGTTCATGGCTTTCAGTCCTGCATGCTTCACACCAATAATGCCCATCTGTGGTACCTTGCTAAGTGCTCTCCAGCCCAGGGAAATTAGGGCTTCACCTTGGGTCTGCTGAAGGAAAATTTTGATCTACAGTTGCTTCTAAGTCTCCATGAGCATGTGCCTCCTCCACCTGCTTTCTACACCATCTTTTTTTCTGTACTAACCAATGTTAACTAATAAATCATCCCTTGTGTATCATTTCAGTCAGGGTTTGAGTCCTACTTATGGGTCCTGGTGTAACTCCAGCTGTTTGGGTCAGCCCTGGTTTAGCAGTTACAGGATCACAGGATCATTTGGTTGGAAAGGGCCTCTGGGACCATCCAGTCCAACCTGTGACTG